ATTAACTAAAATTTTCTTTCAAATGTTTTTATTTTTTGCAATACTTTCAATTTCAGAAAGAACCATTCTTAAAACATATTAGTTGTGTGTGTAATCCAATGTTAAACTGTAAACAAGAAAAAAATTTTAACGTGTTCAAAAATACTGCTTATGCGAACGTTCAGATTTTAAAGTTCAAAGTTTATGTTTTTTGGGTTTTTCCATAAAAGAAATCATATATCTTTTCTTATTATTGTCTTTTTTGTGTTTTTGTGTGTGTGTGTATAATATATTTTTTATATTTGGATAAGCATTTAGGACTTTGTTGCTATATTCATACAAAACTTGACGTTTATGGGCTTTAGTTTTATATATTGGGTTGCAAGGATTTTTTTTTTTATTTTGTTCAGAATGCAGTATAAATATATTTTCAACAATATCCGTTTATAATTAAAATTCATGATTGTTCCGGAAATGCTGATGTATTGAGTTCTGTTCACAAATGAAATGTAACTATTTTTGTTTTGATCAATTAGTAAAAAAATATGAAAAAAAATTTAATCAGAGATACGCGTGTCGTAAAGGAAACAATAATTTTTGTCAATTTTATTTTTCAGATCTAGTTGGCGGATGGTCGATACTTGATCTATACCTGTTTCAATGAATCTCTGCAATGCCTAAATATACTGCTAATATAAATAAAATATATATATATATATACAATATATATATATATAGATTTAATCGGAATCGGGAATCTAATGGATAAGTTCACTAAGACAAAGGATAAAGCCTGTGGAAGAAAAAAGAAACAGAAATATTAATGAGGGGGAAGAGAAAAGAACTAATCAGGAGGACAGTAGATAGTGATTGAAATTGCATTTAAATTTTTGCAGTTTAAAGTTGAATGGAAATGGTGGAGCCGGAAGGGAGTTCCATAAGTGAAAATGTCTGGAGGAAAAAGAAACTGTTAGCATAGAATTTAATTTGTTTACATCTAGCCATAACAACTATAAATTGTTCAATCTTGACGCCAGTCTATTAATTGCGCTTAAATTCAAAATAATAGTTTAATATTCGAAGAAGCTCATCCGAACAATTACTTTGGACAACGGTGAAAAGAAAAAGAGGAAACATTACAGAGAAAATTGAAATTAATGAAGCCGATTCGCCGATCAGGACCAATAATATTGAAAATCGAAACTTTATCGAGAACTCCAAAGCTATTAACGGTTGCGAAATCATTTAAAGAAATATTTAAGAATGGTTGAATGGTAGAAATAGATGAATGAAAGAAAAAATTCTCTTTGAAAAATCGTTTAGCTTCCATTTTTTATGTCTCTGATCTATAAAAATGTTATATATATATATTTATATATTTACAGGTATATGTGTGTGTGTGTGTGTGTGTGTGTGTGTGTGTGTGAATATGTGTGTTGTTAAATTATATCAAAATTTTATATTAATTTTTATGAAATTGCTTTACAAAATTTCCGAATAAGTTGTTTGTTTTTTTTTCGGTAAATTATAAAAAATCTATATTAACGAAATTTCTATTTTCTTCCAGATTATGTTTTTCAATTTTATCTATTCATTTTGACAAATTTACCAAATAAATAAAAATATCCTATTCGGAAATTTGAAAGATTTAATAAAATTTATGGACGGAACATGTAAAATAAAATTTAAACAAAACATGTTTACAGCTTATATCGTTTTTATATACCAGGGATTTAGAAAGAAAAGAAAAGATAAATAACACTATTTCGAGGAAAGATATTGAGTGATAAAAAAAACAGTTTTTTTAATATTAATAATAACATTTGGTAGGAACAGCACCCAGCCTCGGTTTTCAAATAGTTAGGACCTGTTTTTCCTTGCTGGGTCACTGTTCAAGACACACGTGAGAACAATCCACTGTCATCAGAAAGGCGTTGGTTAGAGAGTGCAAAAAAAAAAATTGATGTGAGTTCAATATGAAAGCCCTGCAGACTTGCAATGTATAATAGAAGATCTTCAAAAAACTATCAAAATACAAGTCACGTGGAAATAGAAAATCAAAAAATGTGAAATTAAAACACGAAACAATCGACATTTGTTGTTGGAATCCTCGGAAGGGTTGTACAAAGATGAAATGTTTTGATAAACATGGTAACAAAGATGAATAGCCCATGAGTTTAAAAAATAAAAAAAAAAAAAATGGTCTCATTCGAAATACAGACCCAACATATAAATCTGATTTATCTATGTAAAATTCTTATTTTTTTTTTTTTTTAATTGGTCAGTGGAAAAAAAATTGATGCCTTTTAAATAATTCAAAATAATAAGGGACCATAATAAGAAATAGCATCACAAAAAAAATCAAAGGATGCAAACAACAACAAACAATAACTTAATAATAAAAAATTTTATTTTATTTTATAAACCACTACTGATTAAATGTGAATTTGCGCATGAGTTGATGGTAAACAAATTTGGACATGTTACGCTGATTATTGCCGAAAATATTTTTATATAAATTTTGAAAAGCAAGACCATGTTATTATCAATTGTTTTTTTTTTTGAAAATATTTAATGTTTATATTATTACTAGGAATTTCCAGGGCATTTAATTTATGAAATTATTCCAAACAATACTGTGCATCACTTTCAAATATGCTTTAAAAAACGTCAGAAATTTTGTATTAAAGTTACATTGAACCTTTTATATAAAATGATTACATATATCTCACTATATTTTGAAAAATTTTTATCATAATTTTCATTCAGGATATATAATGTTGGAAAATATTGATATTCCACACTGGGAAAAATATCCATTATTAACTAAAAATTATTAATTATTTTTATTCCATGAATGGACACAAAAGAATGCATTTGGTTCATGAATTCAATGAGAGTTTAAAATAAGAAAATTTTTGATTTTTAATAAAGATTTTTTGAGAGAGAAAGGTTAATTTTTTTTCTTTTAAAATGAGTTTGTAATTAGATTTATTAGGGGCATACGCCATCTTATTGGCCGTTTTCTGATGTTGGCATTTGTGGATCCATCTTCACATAATACAGAAATCCTCATTGCCATGATGAACGTGACTGATAAGTGATCCGTTGGGATCTTGAGAAATTTGGATATATATATATATATATCCAGCGTATAAATATATATATAATTGATTGAATTTTTATATTTTTCTACGTTGAATTTCTGGATTTTCCGATGAGCTGGACTCGTTCAAAAGTAAGACTGGACGTCATATCTCATCAACTTTCAGTTAGTTTAACTATAAATGACTAATTATTTTTTTTTTTCACAATTTCGCTTGAACATCGTAAATGGGACTCCTTTTTTTTAGATCTTAAAAAAAAAATTGGGAAAATTTTCAATTGATAACTCCTCACGAAAAGAGCACTTTTCATCTTCCCGTTTTTCTTAAATGTTATTTTGGTAATTGTTTAACTCTTTAACCTCTTTTCACATAGGGACTTTGCTACCTTGCAAGAAAATTCGAATTGAGATTACAGCACACACATAAAAATATATATATATGTATGTATGTGTTACATATGTTTTGGTGACCACCTAAAACTAAAAATTTTTGAAATGTGTTGTATAGCTAATGAGAAAGTTAGCGATCATCATTATCATCATTTAGAGAATTCCTGAAGATTTTATTGCCACATTTCAGTGAATGTAAGGCCCACATGTCGATCAAGAGTTCGTTATATCAATCACCACGTATGAAATAGTACTAGGACAAATTAGGGAGTCGAATAAAATATAATTTTAAATACGAGGGTTTGAGGTCGTGGCATTCATTCGATCTAGAAGTTAAAACTATAGATCGGGACAAAGCCCAGATGGTTTTTATTTGAGATACCCACCTAAGTGACTTGTTCTCAACAAAGAACAATCTATCGAGATATATAAAAATAGCCGAGATAGGGGAAATAATTGGTTTATGCCTTTCTCAATGTTTTCTACAGGATACTCAGAATGCAATGAACTCGGCTAAATTTGAACAAAATTGATTTACATTACTTCCTGTATCTCCAGGGAATTTAATATTTACATGATCGTTCATCTGTAGAAAAGGAAAACTCTGAGCCAAAACAAAATAGATTGGATAATTGTAAGGAATAAAATAACTGATATTTAAGATTTATAATATGTTAAATATAAAACGGTTGGTTTGGTTTAATTTTTTTTACGGCATATCAACCATTTTTGTTATTTATATGTTGTGGTAGGATCCACCTAATTTGCATAGTGGAGTACCGACCATATAAATATGGTTGGTACCGGGAAGAGAGGGGAGGAATCAAGAGATTCAATCCAGAGACTCTGCCCGACTGCGACTAAGTCAATACATTCTCCAGGAACGGTCTTCCCAGGAATATACAAAAGACTATATGTAAATATTGTGTACACTTTCTTGTTTCAATACATTTTGTTCTAAGTACATTTTGTGTTGCATTATTATTCCATGCATTAGTCAAGTTTCAACAAACATACAAGATTTTTTATTGTTGGTAATTTTTTTAAAATGTATTGTGATCGTATTAATATTTATTTTCATCAATATTTGATATAGTTTAGGGTTATAATATTTGATAATATATTGGGATTCTAAAGGTATTTATAATTGAGGAAATAGTGTCGAACGAAAACCAGCAACTAAGAATGATTCCATATAATATCTAAAACCTCCTGATCAGAGGCTTCGATGTTGGATGAATTTTATCGTCTTACCCAGGACGGAGATAACGATTGATTCAAGATTTGAACTGGTTAAGATCGTCATTTTTGTTCAGTCTTTTGATTTGTCAGGTCGGTTTGCATTCTAGTTTTTCTTTTGAAGAAATATTCCTTCTTATTAACATGTTAAACGAAACAATTGTTTTGTGTCATGTGTTTGTTATGGCTGTGGATAATTCAAGAAAGTCTGCACAATTCAAAAATAAAAGAATATGAACATCAAAAAGAAATAGCATTTAATAATTTTATTATGGATCGAAAGTTATCATTCAACCAGTGAGGACAAGTCGGTTAAGCCGAAAAGAAAAAAGAAGAAAAACATAACAGAAAAGTGTTTTGCGGTTCTTTCTTCAGACGTCATTAACACTTGATCCATGAAAGAAGAAGAAGAAGAAGAAGAAGAAGAAGAAGAAGAAGAAATAAAGACCAAATGTTGAGTCCACATTGTTTGGTCTTTATTGCGCGTCTTTTGTCGTATCAGAAATCAAAATAAAAATAAAAATCGTTGAAACAAATCGATGGAAAACAGAATAAATGATATTTGCTTGAAGCAGACTGAAATAAAATTTGAAATATATATAGAAAGATGAATTTTATATATATATATATATATATTTATATATATATATATATATAGGAAATATATAATACATTAGAAATATATATGCATGTATTTATATATAAATATAAAGCAATAATATTATTGTAAATATATGAATAAATATCAATTTGTATATATATATATATATATATATATATATATTTATATATATATATATTTATATATATATAATAAAAACATTTATATTATATTGGTGTGATAACTTATTGGAAAAAAACTAAAATATCAATGATAATAAAACATAAATTTGATTTACCTATCGGTTTGTGACAGTGCAACACACCTGTTAAGATCGTTTTAAAAACTCTGTATATATTAAATATTTTTTTTCTGATATATATATATATATATATATATATATATATATGTTTAGTGTGTTGTGTGAAAATGTGTGTGTGTGTCTTTTTTTGTGTTTTTGTGTGCTTCAAACACCAAGATAAATAGACATATATTTATATATTAAAATCAAATAAAAAAGAAGAGAAAGGGAGAGAGAAATAGAAAAAAAAAATTTTATTATATATATATATATATATATATATATATATATAGAGAGAGAGAGTAGAGAGAAAGAGAGAGACAGAGAGAGAGATTTTTATGAAAGATAGATAAATGAAAAGACAGATTGATAAACAAACAGATATGAAAGTCAGATAGATAGACATACAGATAGATATGAAAAGATAGACAGGCAGATAGACAGATTCTTGTTGTACATCATAAATCAGCAGAATGGTGAATTGCAAGATCAAATGTCACTGAGATTTGCTCGAGATGAGAAAAAGACTCGTGTCACGTGAATACTTAAGATGAAAAGCGATTGAGATGTCCTTTAGACAAAGTCCAAGGAAAGCAAAACACACACACCAATATAAACAGACAGAAGAACACAAACGCATAATATATAGATTTATGTATATATTTAAATACATATATATATATATATATATATATATATATATATATATATATATATATATATATATATAAATAAATAAACGCAAATTTTGTTTTGATTAATTTTGAAGATAAAGCAACTGGGAATGTAAAAATGAAAATAAATATAAATATATATATATATAAATATATATATATTTATATATATATATATATATATATTTTTTATTTTCAGATAATCATTTATCTGGGAAAGGAGAAAATGAATAATATATATATATATATATATATATATATATATATATTTAATTATTTTCAGATAAATTATATGGGGAAAGGAGAATGAATATATATATATATATATATATATATATGTATATATATATATATATATATATATATATATATATATATATATATATATACATATATATTATATTAATTATTTTCAGATAAAAGTATCTGGGAAAGGAGAAATGAAATTTTGGACCAAAAACTTGATAATGTTTAAAAAGCACAAAAGGCGTCGATTAAAAAATTGTTTTTAATTTGTTTTACTGTTTTATATATATATATATATATATATATATATATAAACATTTATATATATAGAGAGAGAGAGAGATTCGGAGAGAGAGAGATTTTATTTATCTGATGAAAAATTTTTGGAATTTGTAAAATTTATACTATTTATATTTGGAAAATGATTTGTTATTGTTGTCACAATTTTTCGGCCATTGCGCCCTTCAGTCTTCTTCACATATATTTTCGTCTGGATAACCTACAGGGAAGTCAGAACTGAACCCTTTATTTGATTTACATGGACATACTGTTCTTCTCCCACTACCCATGTCTAGAAACATCGTCTATTTTTTTATTTCATTTTTAGTCCTGTTTCAGTTTTCCACTGGAGTAGTTTGAGGGGATTTATTCATCTAAATAAAAAGAGTTGATTTGAATAAAAATACGAATTTATTTTTTGGATCCATTATGTTGAAAGTACTAATGGATATTGTCTTAACTGGGCTATCTTCCTGCTATGAATGTCACCTCCACACAACCTGGCAAGGGATGTAATGATGGCATATATGTCATGAAACAACACAGAGGAATGCATACCACTCCAACAGAAAATTGTATATTCGTTATGTATGTAGGACAGCAACAGTGTTTGACCAGGATTCAACAGAGCATTCCTTTTCTCATCTCGGTTTATGACTTTTAAAAATAGATTATCTGAATGTATGATTTAATAAATATATATGATAGTTCACAAAAAAATACATGGTGAAATATGGCACAAGGATAAATAAAAAAGTATATTGTTCCAATGAGGATCGATCTCACTATTAAAAAAAAATGATCTAGAAGGAACAAGTTTTGAACCTGAACACCACGTCGAAGGAATAGAACTTTTTCAAATATAAAAAAAAAAATATATATGCATTGGATGGATAAATAAATATATATATATATAAATATATATAAATAATATATATATATGAATATATATATATTTATATATATTTATATAGATAGATATATATATATATATATATATATATATATATATTTATATATATATATATATATATATATATATATATATATATACATATATTCCTAAAATTTAAAAATTGAAAATTTAAAGAAATTTATAGTTTGATTTTTTCTATTCTATGATTTGAAAATTTAAAATCAGATAAAGAAACGTATTTATGCCATGATCTGAACTTGCATCTGACTAGAGTTGGAGAATACTTTCCGTTTTATGGTATTAGTTTAAAACGCAACCTGACTGGTTGATTACGATCACGTGATCAAGCATAGTAATTTGATAATTCATAAGATTTTGGAAAGTATCATAGTTCAGTGAACGTGGCGAATGACAGCAACGTGTTAAGTAGTTTATGACAATAAGGTGTAGTTCATGGCAACGAACTATATATTTTATCGGGATGGTAAAATAAAATATTTTACTTGTTCTCTATATATATATATATATATATATATATATATTATATATATCTTTATATATATATATGATATCTCATCTTTTTGATATTAAAATATTTTGGGACAAGAGTTTTGAACTTCCATCGCGCAAATCGCAGCGGAATTTGATCTACTAACTAATCCATTCTGTTCAGATTTACGTTTTCCTTGGATCACATCTTTTTTATTCTGCCAATACATGTTTTTGTATCAAGCGGGTAACGAAGTATAAAAAAAAATTTTTACGAGAGAATGAGGCACCGCATAGCTTCTAACAATATTTGGAATACTAATTTAAAAATTCTGACATTAAATAATTGTACATCTCTATTCTCCCTCTTCAATCAATTTGAGGTGTTATATTTGCTAAATTTCCTCTAAATGCTTTCATCCGTAAATTTTCCTCAAACTCTAGTCTTGAAATTGATACAGAATATGTTTATTTAATATGTCCTTAGAACTGAGTCAGATTTGAGTGATATGCACATAATTTATTCCACCCTTTTGCTGCCATCTCTAACATAGATGTCCAAAATGATGCGAGCCCAATGGTATCCCTGTAATTGTTTTTAAAAGTGTGCTCCATTTTTCAGGACGTTCTTTCTAAACAAATGCCTCGGTACCTCCTGTTTTCCTGCCTGATGAAAATTATCAGCTGTTGTTCCAGTTTTTAAGAAATCTAGTGAAACCTTGCAAATGAAATCGGCCTTTTTTGGGAATTTTTTTTTTTTTAGATTAATTTGAATTGGTTCATCACTTATCGCTTATGGAACTCCCTTCCAGCTGCATGCTTTCCAGCCAATTATAATCTGCCAAAATTTATATGCAATGTCAATCGCTATCTACTCTCCACCTGCTTACTATCTTCTCTATGACTTTTCTATAAATACTTTCATGGTAATTGTTCGAATAAGTTCTTCGCTAGGGTCAGTCAGTCAGTTAAGTGTCATGCATTGGGCGATCATGTATCTTTCGATATATGACTGATGAGGCAGATTTTTCCACAGTTGGTTGCCATTCTGCGATAGACTGATTGTTAAAAAAAAACACAGTCTGTCCTGCCGTTCAACACATAGCTGGGAGGAGGAGAGATGTATTCATGCCTTTCCCAAAGGTATTTGTGCGCAAGTGAATCTAACGCACTCGACTGGAATTCGAACTCGGCTCTCTGAGTTCCCACTCTGAGCCGATATCCATTACCCTATAGTAGCTAGACTTTATGAATTTAAGCGCAGCACTAGAATGGCGATGAGATCTCATCAATTTACGGTTGAGCTGGCTAGATGTAGCCGTAAATTCTATGCTATCATATTCTTCTCTCGCACTTCTCGCATGTGGAACTCCCTTCCAGCTCCATGCTTTCCAGCCAGTTTTAATCTGCAAAAATTTGAATGCAATGTCAATCGCTATCTACAGTCCTCCTGATTTCTTTTTTTCTATTTCCGCTCATTATTAATGTTTCTGTTCCTGATTCTTCCTCACCGTGTAAACCGTTGTGCTTTAATGGCTGTACAGCCTGACTTGTTTTGATACTGATTAAAAGGGAACAAAGTAGAAAGATAGATAGATAGATAGATAGATAGATAGATATATGAACAGACTTAGATATAGCCGACAGTTCTATGCTAACAACTTCTTCTCTCGCACTTCTCGCTTGTGGAACTCCCTTCCAGCTCCATGCTTTCCAGCCAACTTTAATTTACAAAAATTTAAATGCAACCTAAATCGCTATCTACAGTCCTCCTGATTTCTTTTTTCCTATTTCCGCTCATTATTAATGTTTCTGTTCCTGATTCTTCCTCGCCGTGTAAACCATTGTGCTTTAATGGCTGTACTGCTTAGGGTGATACTGATTAAAAGGGGAAAAAGATAGATAGATATGAACAGACTTAGATAGATATAGCCGTCAGTTCTGTGCTAACAGTTTCGCACTTCTCCACTGCGGAACTTCCTTCCAGCTCTATGCTTTTCAGCCAGCTTTAATCTGCAAAAATTTAAATGCAATGTCAATCGCTATCTACAGTCCTTCTTATTTCTCTTTTCTCTTTTCACTCATTATTAATGTTTCTTTTCCTCATTCTTTCCCACCGTGTAAACCCTTGTGCTTTAATAGCTGTACTGCCTTGCTTAGGGTGATATTGATTAAAAGGAAAAAAACTAGATAGATAGATAGATAGATAGATAGATAGATAGATATGAACAATTGGATGAATAGATAGATCTGGGAAGATTAAAATAGGTAGATGTCAACAGACTTAGATATAGCTGTAAGTTCTATGCTAATAGTTTCTTCACTCGCATTTCTCTCCTGTGGAATTCCCTTCCGATTCCATGCTTTCCACCTGATTACTATCTTCTCTTCCTGCTCACCATTAATGTTTTTGTTCATAATTCGTTCACACCTTGTAACACCTGTTTTAGAGGCATTACTGCTTTGCTCGAGGTGATTCCGATAAATAAAAAAAAGTCCTTCGTAAAGTGTCAGTTGTAGTTGTGACTACATTTTTTTTTGTATTTCTTTAAGGCTTGGTCTACCAGAAATCCCTTTAATGAGTCAATCAAATCGAGGAATTATTCATGTGCCATATTTTTGAGATTTCCTCTTCAAGATCCTTGGATTTTGATAGTTATATAGATAGATCCTCAAAGGTGCATTACAGTCTGCAGGGTCTGTCATGTTAAAAAGAAGGCACATTTTATTCATGTGGTCTTTGACCACGATGTCTGGGCGATTAGTTTTGGTCATTCTGTCTGTGTGTATTGTAAAGTTCCATAAAATTCTTACACTTCCTATCTCTGGGTCTGGGTGATGTTCATACCAATTTCCTGCAGATTCTTTCCCATAAAAAAATTGCATATTTTCCAGTGCAGATATTGTCCTACGCCATCATAGCAGGTTTTATATTCATTGAGTACTAACACTGTGTAGCCTGATGCAAGATGGCCAATTGTTTCTGGAATTATCACAGAATCTGTATTTCGGGTTAACACAATTTTTCAGTATTTCTGCTTGGTAACTTTCAGTTAGCAAATATTCGTCCTGCGCAGAATAAAACCTTCGGTTTTAGCTTTTAACCCCGCACACGGCGACGGAGTTTGTCTGCATCAGTTTGTTTGATACGAGCAGAGTATTGACCTTGAAGAGGCTTGTCATCGTTGTACATTGTATTTGCTTTTGCTTTCTTTTTAGGTTCTTTGCCGCTGCATTAAACGTATTATTTTTTACTTGAACTTCTTCACCCACTTGAAATTCCCTTTTGAATTTGTTGACTTTCTTTTAATACTGAATAAAAGTTTCTTATTTCTTTCATTGATACAGATTATCATCCAGGCTTCCTTAGTTTTCGATTTTGTGAGACAGTTCTAGTTGAACTAATCCTCTGCCTCCTTCGGGTGTCGGCACATACAGAAGATCAACATCAGCCTTAAGATGATGCATGCATTGCAAAGTGGGAAACGTTCTCGTTTTGACGTCCATTCGTTTAATGTCAACTCTTGTCCAAATATTATTATTATTATTATTATTATTATTGCTTTTTACTAATGTATTAAATTTAGTTACTTTTCTTTTCCGAGCGTATAATCCTCAACTATTACCTCATAGTATCATATATACTAAGTCTTTTAATCTGTGCACTTTCCAGTTCACTGACCTATCTATTTATATATATATATATATATATATATATATACATATATATATATATATACAGTACTGCACTCGCAACACTAGCAAACTGACTCGCAACACGATTTTGCCAATCAACGTGGTACACGATAAGCCTTCAACGATTCATTTTTAAGTCTCTGCTTCTCTGTCAATTATACATCCAGCGTTGTCTCCGATGATCCAATCGACGAAAAGATACAATTCACTGACGAATTTCGCAGCATCCTTATTTCAGTTCATTGACGCTACACAATCTTCAAAAATATCATCTCTGCCCAAACTGGAAAGGTTGCAGTACGATCATCATTAATATTATTGATAACTTTGATCAAGATCCTTACTCAATTATGTTACTTCAAATCAACGTATGACAGTTCCTCTGGTTTAATCAATGTTTTAAGCTAGCAGCCGATCGGTCTGATTGCACGGCTGTCAGATTTAATACGTCACAGAAGAAAATCCCTGCAGTAGTAGATTTATAAAATTATTTAAAAAAATATCCCCCCCTAGATAGAAAGAATATAAAACTCCAAACAGACGGTTTAATTTCATTATCAGTTCAAAGCATACACAAAACGTATTAAGTAACTTAAAAAATGTTTGGAAAAAGTTATTAAAAACATTTAGGTTTGTCTTGATAAAATGACAAACGGTTTGAATTATTTTTAATGTTTTCCCATCAAAATGGCTGTCAGTTATGGTCTGCAAAAGCTTGCCAATAAAATTGGAAGATTATACTGAAAATAGAATCTGTACAAAGAAAATTCGCAAGCCATTTCGAGGGTATGGAAAGATTTACTATAGGAGGAGGTTGAAAAAATGACGTGTTACTAGATCTCAAAAGCATCTGTAGTTAATGATGGCGAAAGCAATGGCTCGTAGTAATTTCAAATTGAGGCTGATGTGTATATTCCGACCATTCCAGATGCTTCCCATTTTTTGTCGTAACACTTCTTGTTATCGCTAGCCTTCTCTTGATCTCCCACGTAGAGCTTCCGTGGGTGTTGATGGTGGAGGCCAGGTACACAAATATATCCAAGGACACGTGTCCCAGTGGATAAAGGCGTTGGATAGATCCAGTGACTAGACCTAAAGTGATGTGAGTTCAGTACCAGTCCACAGCAGTAGTGAACCAAAACCTTGGAGAGTTGAGTTAAAGGAAAATAACTGAGACATCCCGAAGAGGCATGGCATGTGGAACTAGAACAATCTACCCCGGTGAACGGAAAAAAGGGTTCGGTTTGAAGTTCCAATCACTTGAAGAAGGCCGGAGCGTACAATGAGGATAACAGTCTGAATAATGTAAATAATCATAATACCTCATCTCACAGATATAGACAGATGCTGTTAGTAAAATATTAGAATATATCATTTGAGTTTGATAAAAATATTAATAGTGTCTTCTTCTGTGTTTTATTATGCAAACGAAATAAGCGTAGTATTAATGTTTTATATAAATAAATTCAATAAACATAGGTCATAAAAAGATATTTGATTAACACATACATCTGAATAAATTATTACTTTATTATTCACATGTTAATATGGACGCATCGACATTCTATAAGCGACATTTCTCTTTTGATATTTGATTTTATTTATTTTGCTACTGTTTCAACTTTACCATTATTTGCAGCAGTTTTTAATTGCATCCAAGAGATATTTACGAGAATATTGTTTTCTATTTTCATATAGAATCTTTTTCATTGATCAGGTACAAGTTTTCTATTCATTTCATATCTCGAGAAAATGGGAACTATTCCAATAATTTGGTCTCTTTGAAACCTTTTTTTTTTTTTTACAATAATCAACTTTGTAGAATTTGAAGGAAGGTGTGGGATAGATATATTCTTTAGCATAAATCTTCTTCGTTGTGACATCTACTACTCAAAAACTGTCTTGTCCAAAAAACTTACAATAATTCTCTGCTTTTATCTTGATACTGTCATATACCCAACTCTCCAAGTCCTTAAGGAGACATGGTCCAGTGAATAAAAGCCTTGGTTGGATCCAGTGACTTGACCCAAAGAGTTTTGAGTTCAATACCTGGCTACTGCAGTGGTGAACAAAAACATAGAGAATTGAGTTAAAGGGTGATAACTGAAACATCCAGAAGAGGCATGGCACATGAAACTAGAACAATCTACCCCAAAATTCGAAATTCCAGTCATTGAAACGTCGTGAATATGGCAATAAAGATGAGGAGAACTTTACGAACAATATAAATAATTTTGTTGTTGTTGTTGCATTTGTATTACAGGCGGTCATAGAAGTCTTCACACAACACAAATTTGTTTTTTTATGACAGCAATAAAAAAAAAGTCCGTTGGATAAATTTATTAAGAATTTAATTTTAAAAATCTTTTACGATATTTGAATTATGTTATTTAAAAGCACGTGAAAGTGGTATTTTTCAAATGTGTAATGATTAAAATCGATTGTTTTATTTTTTATTTGGGGACAAATGTCGCATTTAAATCTTCCACTGGGCCATCTTTTAAAATACCTCACATCGGGCGACTTTACAGATAATTGTTCGGAATTTATTTATTTATTTGTCAAAGGCGTTCACTAATTTTGAAATTCTATTTATACTGGCGCCAGAGACAGTCGATCAGTCTACACAAACATTACTGCCACCATTACACTGTCAATACCAATACCATTACACATTACCACTTTTCTCACCTTTCCTTCCCATACCCTACGGCTCAAACCTGCGTGTTCCCTTGTGTGATCGATAAAAACAGAAAGAAAGGATGAAAGAAATGCGCATGTGTATGTGTGTGGGGGGAGTGGCAGGTGATCAAATGTATCAGACGAGCCAGGCACAAGCAAGAGAGAGCGCCGAGGGCAATCAGTGCACATGACTCGCAAGCTCGGAAGACGACACACGTGCAGGCGCATGCGCAGGTAAAACAAAGCACATGCGGGTGAGACGAAGCAAAGAAAGCCGAATATTTTTCACGGCAGATCTGAAGCTCAGAGATAGATAGATAGATAGATAGATAGATAGATAGATAGATAGATAGATAGATAGAAAAGAATTGATACATCCATAGGTAAAAAGAATAGATATATAGATAGAAAAAGTATTGATAGATAGAAAGAAAAAGAATTGATAGAAAAAGAATAGATAGATAGGCAAACAATTAATAGATAGAAAAATTATTTATAGATTGACAGACAGACAGACAGATAGATAGATAGATAGATAGATAGATAGATAGATAGATAGAAACAAAGAAAGAATTGACAGATAGAAAGAAAAAGGATTGATACATGGAAAAAGAATGGATAGATAGAAAAATAATTAATAGATACACAGAAAAACAATAGATAGATAGATAGATAGATAGATAGATAGATAGATAGATAGATAGATTGAAATATATATGGATCGAGAGTCAGAAAATGAATTGATAGATAAATAAATAAAAATATACATAGAAAAAGAATAGATACACAAAATGATAGATAGAAAAAATGATAGATAGAAAAAATGATAGATAGAATTGATTGATAGACAGATTGATAGAGAGAAAAACGATGGAAAGAAAGAAAGAAAGAACAATTGATAGATAAATTAACAGAAAAAGAATAAATGGATAATAAGATAGAAAAAGCATAGATAAAAAAATTGATAGATGGAAAAGAATAGATACATAAATAGATAGATAGAAAAAACATTGATAGATAAGTAGATAGATAGAAAGGAAAAGAATTGATAGAAAAAGAATTGATAGATAGATGGACAGAAAAAGAATACATAGATACAAAAATTATAAAAAGTGTAGTTATATATATATATATATATATATATATATATATATATATATATATATATATATAAAGAATTGACAGATATCTTATGTATAGATAGATAGATACTGATAGATAGATAGAAAGAAAGATATATAGAAGAAGATAGAAAAAATCTAGATAGATAAAAACAATAAATAAAATAAAAGAAAAAGAATTGATAGTTATTGATTGATAACTGGAAAATATAAAAGAAAAACAATTGGTAGAGAGATAGATAGATATATAAAAAGAGTTTCGACAGACAGTAAAAGACATGATATATAGAAAAATAGGTAGAAGTATAGATAGAAAAAAGAATTAACAGATGCATAGTTAAATAAAATATATGATAGATAGGTAGATAAAATGAATTGATAGATAGAAAGATAGAAAAGTATTGATAGATTGTCAAACAAAGCATTCATAGAAAAAGTATAGATAGATAAAAAATTTCATAGATAGAATAAGAACTGAAAATAAATAAAAGAGCAAGAGTTGATAGATAGGTAGATAAAAAAGAATTGATAGAAAGATCGAAAAATTATTGATAGCTAAATAGATAGATAGACAGACAAAGAATTGGTAGATGGAAAATAAATAGATATAGTGTAGATCGATAGAAAAATTATTGATAGATATATAGAAAAAAATGACAGATAGATAGAAAGAAAAAGAATTGATAGATTGATAGATAGATGGAAATAGAAATTTATAGAAAGAAAAAAGAATTGACTGATAGTTGGATAAAAAGAATTGATGGTTAGATAGAAAAAGAAATGATAGACAGAAAGATAAAATAAGAATTCATAGATAGATAGATAGATAAAAAAGAATAGAAAGATAGAATGAAAAAGAACTGATAGATAGCTAGATAGAAAGAAAACAAATTGATAGAAATATTCTTGATAGATAGAAATTTTAAATAAAAGATTTGATAGATATGTAGACTTAAAAGAATTGATAGATTAATTTTTTGAAAAGAATTGACAGATGGAATAAGAATAGATAGATAGATAGAGTTTAGAAAAAAAGCCCAAATAGAAAACATATAGAGAGTTTTAAAAATAGATAAAGCATAGACTGAAAAAGTATTGAGAAAATTTAAAAATTAAAAAGGAAGTTGATTTAATATTAATGATTATTTAAATAAATAGATAATAGATTCATATAAAAAGAATTTAATATGAAAGAAAACTTAAAATATAAATAGATAAAAAAAGAATTGATATAGAGAAAAATTGAAATAGATAGATAGATTTTAGATTGAGACAAAAAAAATCGATAGAAAAATCAAATAAAAAACGAATATTATATATATATATATATATATATATATATATATGTATATAATATATAAAAATTATATAAATCCATTCATTTCCATTTTGTAAAAATTAAACGCAATCGTCAGGTTGATGAGCATATTATTCATTGCGTTTATGCATAAAAATTTTCTCTGTCCCTCTGAAACAACAAACTTCAATTTTTTTTTTATATAAATATTTAAATATTTTCATCTATGATATTAAAAATTTATCCCGTATATTATAAAATATTTAAATATATTTCTTCATATATATATATATATATATATATATATATATATAATTAAGAAAGAGAAAATTGAGTGAGAGAGGGAAAAAGACACAGAGAGGCGACATTTTGAAAAAAGAACAGATTACAATAAAGGATAGGCAGAAAAGAATTCTTAGACAAAAATATAAAAAACAATTGATACTCTCATTATGGAAAGAAGTTTATATATAGAGAGAGAGGATAAAAGAATTATTTTGAAACCAAAAAGAATAGACAGAATTATAGTAAATTTTTTATTTATAACAAAGAATTGTTAGATAAATTCCAGAAAAGAATTGATCAAAATTGATAGACAGATAAGAATGATAGATATATATAGAAAAGAATCTGAAGGAATTTTTGAAGGAACTAAATAAAAAAATTAACATAGAAAATCAACAGTGTATTACGGGTCTTAGTAACCATAATTTCATTCCATTTTATATAATTTTAAATATATTGTCAATATTTTCATTTTGTAAAGTGTGATATGGGTGAAATATTTAAGATTTTAGTTTTATTAAAATAATCAATTAATCTAACGATTATTTATTTCAATAACAAATATTATAGCCAAAATAAATCTCGTTACCTTAAATGAATTAAAATCAATTTAAATTAATTTTTTCATCATTAAGGTTTAAATAACAACATTTACTTTCATCTTTAAAACCGGTGATAAATTCAGAATTAAAGAAAGTTAAACAAGGACACTTTCAATTATTAATTTAAAGATTCTTTTTAATCCTTTTTTCACCCTTTTAAAGCAAAAAAAAAAGAGCTATTTGACATTATATTATTTTGATTGGTTGTTTTTTCGATTCCTTTTGACGGTAAATATTTAGTTAGTTATTTTTATTCCAAAAAAATAATTTTGGGATCGCAGGAATTACTTTTTAAGATTTTAAAAATTTTAAACTTTAAAGAATGTTAAAATGTCATTTTTTCAGTGTACCCCCTCTTTGATTTTTCTGAAATTTACCTTTTTTTCAGATGGACTTCAAATATATAAAGATGCATTTATTTCGTGGAAATTATAGATTTTTAAAGGTTTTTGAGAGAGCTGAGTTTTATTGAAAAATAATGCAAACGTGTTCTCTTTCGTGTTTGAAACGGCTTTTATGTGAAGGAATTTTCCCCACTGGAAGTTAAACATGTCGATAATAATATAATAGTTTAAAATTTCCGTCCTTGATGTCATTCATTGCCGAACCATTGTCAATTCTTCGCCGACCAAGAGAAGACGAGAAAGAACAAATTTTCAAGGACCTTTGTAACAATTGTTTCATGATGATACGCGTAAATTTGTACTACATCTCAATTTTTGTCAGGTAGTATTCATATAAAATATAAAATTTTATTATAACTTAATTATGTACAATAAAGGATTTATACAATATAGGTGAACAATTCAACAAGAAATTTTTGAATCCTATTTACTAATTTATCTTAATATAAATTAGAGATATATAATAGATCATCGTCAAAATATCAATTTGGACTTCATAAGAATTTTTAAGCGGTGTTCTGAAATTTTTAGAAGAAATCTTCAAGAGGTTTATTCAGGATGATCAAATTTGGCGGTGGTTCATTTTAGTTATAAATTGTCTTCTTTGTAAACCCTTATATGTGTGATCTGATAAATCTAAAAATATATATCATTAAATTTTCATGAACCGATTTCTGGTATGATCATCAATCCAGAGTGTTGTTATTTTGTGTCAGTAGTGCGAATCTTTATTTCTTTGACGCTTTGATTTAATAATTTTAAATCATTCTCATAATAAAAAATTTCAATTAAATAAAAAAATTTTTTCCAATTAAATTGGTTTTTGTTTTTTTTAAAATTGAATAATTTTTTTAATGTTTCAAAACAATTTATTTACCCACCACAAAAGAACCCCCCTGCCTCCCATTAGAATGTCTGATGCTCAACTCCCTTTCAACACCTCTTTAGCGATTATAAAATCTGCGACTGTCCATTGACCTGAGATGGAACAAATACATTGAATCAATAGCTTCATCTACCGCAAGGAAAGTTGGTTTCTGTGTTCGCTAGAAAGATTTCATTTTTCAAATCTTCAAATAAATCAACCAACCATCCTTGCATGGAATACTGCTGCCATATATGGTCTGGAGCCCCCGCTGTTCGTCTCAAGGTTCTCGACAAAATCCAGAGACGGATATGCAATGTGATTGGTCCTGATCTGGCATCTCGTCTACAGTCGCTTTCTCACAGACGTGCCGTCGCTTCCCTCTGTCTTTTCTACAAATATTTTCACGGTAACTGCTCCGACGAGCTACTTTCGCTGGTTCCCAAACTGCATGAATTTAAACGTGCTACTAGGTTGGCATCTCAGTCCCACCCTTTCACTGTCGAAACAGTTAAATGTAGCCGTCTCTTCTACTCCAATAGCTTCATGTCTCGCACTTCCCGTCTGTGGAACTCCCTTCCTCTTACTTGCTTCCCTGATAGCTATAATCTTCAATTATTCAAATGCAATGTCAATCGACATCTTCAGATGCCTTGATCTATTCCCCGTCCTTCTCTTCATCCTTTCCTCTATCGCACCCCTTTACTCTTGCCCGCACTCTCTGTAACCCCTTGCGTCCCCAATCAGGCTCTCCCTGACCGGAGAGGAGTCCAGGACTAGTATGCTCCGACCTTGCATGTGAGTATTGTATTAACAACTTTTTAAAGATAACAATATTTCCAGATACAGGACCTACTATTTAACCCGTGCCTTGGGGAGAAGTGTTAGCTTCATAGTTTTCTCGATGATATTTACGTGAATGTAACGAAGTTGACAGGAATTCGAACTCAGTTCTCCGATTTTCCATTCTGAGTCGTTATCCATTACACCATCCGCACATCCTTGACAAAACAAGATTAAGATAATCCTAGATTAAAATACGCGGGCAATTTTTCTCCTGTTAAATGGTCAAACACAGACTGCATAAAATAGGGAACCTTCAATTTGTTTTTATATTGAAGTTGATTACTTTTGGAAAAGAGGATGAAAATTATTGAAATGTCACAAAGAATGAGTTAATGCGAAATCCCCCAGAAGCTTGGAATATCAAGACATGCTGTCCAAGTTATTCAGAAGAAGCTTGATGATGTTTCGGGCGTTTTGGATAAGAAAAATAAATGATAGACCATCAAAATTAGACAAAGGAGATAAAAAAGCTGTTGAGGTTATCAGTATATCCTACTTTCTGGAACAGACTCCCGAGAGGATGCTTACATGATCACAACAATCTTAACTAAGTTTAGATTCAACTGCTATATATCCTAAATATCCTCAGAAACTGCACTTACTTCACCCTCACACGTTCATACAACAAACTTGCTCAATAACCTTTCACCTTGAGTGGCATTCAGGCGTTGTATTGGGTAAATATTTAGTAAAAAGGACCGTCAAATAATGGATGAAAGTTATTGAACTGTTAATTCATACAGTAACAATGCTTCTACGTAAAAGCCAGCTAAATGGAGGCATTGCTGCAAAAAAAAAGTAATCATGAATAAAAAAAAAATTGAATAGGACGAAAACACTATTCAAAAGAAAACCTATAGGATAATAAAAAAAAGTGGGTAAAAGTTACGAAAGAAAACTAAATGCAAACGATTATGTCCTTGAGGTTATAGAAATGCCCAGACCAAAATCAATTGTTCTCTGACATCTGGTGACTCTGTTTGAACAACGGCTAGGCTACTCATTAGACGTGAATTATGGGTGTTTAAACGGAACATGATATTGGGTGCCAGACGAATGAACATTTCATTTATGAATTTATGGAGCATTTGTCACAACTCGATCGATGGTATCATGTATGTACTGGGAACACATGATTTCCGCTCACTGTAGAAAGATGTAGAGGCTGACGACTAATCCTTAATGATTTTGGCCAGCGATATTTGATTAGTATTGTTAGAAGTAACAGGCAAGCAACACTGACTCAAATTGTATCAAATCTAAGTAAACGCATATTTCATCAGGCCAGTTAAATGTGCTTTAACTTTTATGGACTATGAGAGCAGAATACCTACCTGGACACATGACCTCGCAAATTGAACTCTTGGGGACTGATACCGTTTTTCTTTAGTTTGATAGGATTCAAATGTAGCACAGGCCCTAGGACTTGTCAACAAACAATCATACAGACTAGTGCTGATTTCATAAAGGTGTGTCTTGTGTTCCCGTTGCGTGGATTGGGTCAGCTGGCTCACAACATATAACATCTAATCAGTGACCGTTAGTATTGTGAGGGAGAATATTTCCTTACAAGTTTGAACTCGGCCGTCGTACGAAAGACATAAAAATACACCTACATCAAGAGGAGGAGCAGTAGCTTTTGCTGAAAACAGTTAGTCATCCACGGCTAAACATTATCTTCCCTAGTTTCTATTCTACATTATGCTTCCCTGTACTAAAAGGTAACAAACTTGTCGTTAAACCAATTCTGGTTTTCTACTGTTGTTTTTTGATAACTCCCTTAAACGGAAGGTTGCGTTGTGCAATCGAGCGTACTTTTCATTGAATTGTTTTGAGGAGCATTCTGAGAATGAGAAATAGGAGATCCGAGTTCGAATTTCAATCGAGTTTATTACATTCAGAACATGCTACGCCGGTGGACGAAATAAAGGGTTCAGTCCGAAATTTCAATCACCTGAAGGAGGCCAAAGCGTACAACGACCGAAATCTCGTGAATATGGCAATAAAGATGAGGACAATAATCCGAACTATGTAAATAATGTAAATAATTACAATACCTCATCTCAGAAAGGTATACAAAAAATTATCTGGTCCAAATTGGTCAAAGTGTTGAAGGGTGTTGATCTGTCTGTTGAAATAAAACCCAGAAGTAGTTGATAGTTGTTATAATTCTTCAAATGTTAGGCCGTTTCAGAAAAAACAAAAACTTGCACCATCGCAATATTTTGCATATACACATCGTTACATAAGTGTAAAAGAAATATATAGTTGATGAAAAAAAACGAACATAATTTTGATACATACCAATATAATCTAATATATATTCGCTGGAACTCTGGCTAAATTCAATCGGATCGTCTTAGATCATTGATTTGAGATGCTTTCAAACTGTGTTACACAAACAGATGCAGCCAAATGTAATCAAATCATACCGTACAGTAAAAGATAGAACGGGAATTGCACAGGTCACTCCTAAATTGAACCAAGTTACTTTATTTCCAAATAAAAAGAGAGAAAAATAAAAATGCGAGAGAAAGCGGTCACACTTAGTATTTTGTACAATTATGGCGTCAACAATATTTCATATCTCAAAAACAGCAGACAGCTATTGTCATCTCTCTCTCTCTCTCTCTCTCTCTCTCTCTCTCTCTTCTCCCCTTCTCTGTGTACCATATTAGATAACGGTTCTCCACATTTCCTTATCTTTTGTAACAAAAGACAGTGAAATAGCTATACTTGATCCTCCGTGCTCTCTTTTCCCTTTGTGGCAAGCGTCCTTCCAGCCATTTACACAAAAGTGTCAAGCAGGTTTCTCACGACTTTCTTCTGCTTATCTTTAAGTCGGCAAAATGGATCCGTACCTTCGGAAGAAGGATTGGCTCCGAGGACCGGGTCGGTCGGGCCGTGCCCGTGCGAAGCGAGGAACCGGTACGGGGCTGTAGCGTTCGCTCCGTTCGCGCTTTATAATTATAGCAACTACGAGAAACAGAGAATTGTTATCACTCGATTTGATTATATCAGATACGAAAAAAAGAGAATTGTCGTCAGTTGATTAAATTATAAAAGACAAGAGAAAAAGAGAATTGTTATCACTTTATCCCAAGAGAAAGCAAGTAGACTGGCCGGAATAGGATAGGAAGTTGTGGAATATTCTACGTCAGACAGTTACACCCCTGTGTGGATAAATAAACTATTCCCTGTAAGTGAATATATAACAAGCATCCATTGGTTAATCACCTTCAATCTAGTTTGCTAATTGGTCAGTTCCGACCAATCAAACCGCCTGCACGCGACAAATCTGTTTTCCCGCTCAATATGCTTGGAGCCTCCCACGTGATACACGACCATTATATAAACAGAACACGTGTAAGCTCCCTTAGTAGTTTCTTTTCATTCATCTCTCTCTCCCGCGCGTCTCATTCCTTGCTACCAAGTACCAAGATGTAACTTTCAAGAACTCCCGTCTTGACTGATGCAGTCAGACGTTAAAGACCATTGCCAACATTCATGCAAGTACGAACTCTGAAATCTCTTCTGAACTTTTACCAACTTGTACAATACACAATTCCAAACATGCTAAAGAAACTTTATTCTTCTAAACTACAGTTTAATAATTACTTTCACTTTATGAGCTCGAATACAAATATTTACCTAATCTAAGAGACACAACTCTGTCTAACTTTTCAGTTCACATGCATGTATATCAAATATTAATAAATTCAATTGTTACGTTTTGAAACAATACGTTTATGAATCTTTATTCTCTATCTTGTATTAATTGTTGTGGATGGAAGATTATTGAACACACACAATTTTAAACCTTCTGATAATTCAAACCTTCTGATAACTCAGACCTTCTATTCCTCTCCAACACACACATCCGTAACAAAGTTATGAACAGCCACGATCGCCCAAATCCTAAACGGATGCGGCATATGAAAGAAGAGGACGAGCTATAATAGTTATTGTCATGTGTGCGACAAAAGAAATGCGATAAAGAGAAGTAAAGGTAAGATAAGAACAACTAAGTTTTATAGTAAACAAAAAAGGTTTAATTTTAATTTTAGTGATTTGGTTAGTGGCTAAAAGGGAAAGAAATACACAATGGATTACCGGCAAAGAGTTAAAAAATACTTGGAAGTAACTTCAGCCGGGAGTTGCTGGATATTTTGTCTCGTGGCATAATTTACTTGTTAGGTCAGTGAATGGTAGTAAACGGACTGCTCCGAAGCAGATTTCTACAACAACTGGCTTCGCCAGCCGACTCACTTAATTTTGGCGCCAACCACCGAATACGAATACCCGGATGAAAAACTTCCACATCTAAGGTCATCCGACCAAATCAAAGAGTTCTTTGAAGTCTTTTATCTAAATGGCCCAGAACTCAAAGATTCACTCATAAAAATAGGTTCTCCTAACAGTTATAAACAAAAAATATGATGTAAAGACGCAATCAGGAAAAATTTGACTATATGAATAAATCTGACTTTTTTAAATATTTTCACCACAAGCAAGACAACAAAGTCATTAATGCGCAGGGAAGGGGTGGAGTATAGTGAGTGTGAAAGAATATAAGAAAACATAATTAAGTGTCGATAACAATAAAAGAACAGGAGACAGAAGATAACGATTGATTAAATGTTTGAAGATCAAATTTAACGAGAAAGCAAGAAGCCGAAAGAAAGTTAAATAGAACTTACAGTTGTATCCAGGTTCTATGGCAAGAGTTTCTTTTCTCGCACTTCTCGCTTGTGGAACTCTTTTTCTGGTTTCATGCCTCCCAGTTTAATGTTAAAAAAATTTCAAATTTTTCAAAGGTTTTCACCTACTAATGGATTTCTGTGGCCACATAATTATTTCATCAGGTATGCTTCAAAAGAAACGGTATCCTGGTTCGAATCTGATCGAAGGCTACTTCTTTATTTTCTGATTTACACTGCTTACTTAACAGTCGTAGAATGCAAAATTCAGGTAGATTTTCTTGCGCCAATTGTTCAAGTGAGATGTCTTGTCGTCTAAATCAATTATCAAGCGTCACATAGTCTGGCAAAAGATCATCGAAGTTGGCTACCTAGAAAGGACTACAGGAGTAAAAACAATGAACTGGCCTACGAGATGAGCTTGCGAACCATTGCGCTACGATGTGCCTCTTTTAAAATGAAGAATACTCGCTGTAGCGAAACCAGAAAGGAATTGTTTCTTCTGCTGACAATGCAAAATTCAAGATAAAAACGAAATTCCCATGCTTTTTATTGAAGTGTCCTTCTCTCTTCCGTTAATTTCCTCATTTAATTGTAAATATATTGTTCTTGTAAACAAGTCAAAAAGAAAGAGAAAAAAATGTTTCCATTAAATACAGTAAAGTCAAGAATTGGAGACGCAGAATTCATGAAAGCACAAGTAACGATATATCAAAGTTCTGGCGACCTAAGACGTTTTTGCGCTAATGAAAACCAACGTTGATTAAATATTTTCAACGTCGACACGTTTTAGCCAAACCAAAGAGACAATGATTTTTTTTTTGTTGGCAGTGTTAAATTTGAGATAAAAAAAAGAATCTGCTAGGTATGTTTAATAGAAGTTAATTGTCGTAAACGGAAAGTAATGTCAACAAGAAAAGCGAAAGTAACTGCATTTAACCCTTAAAATATGTAATATAAAATACTTTCGTACATTCGAAACCAACAGGCTGGAACGTCTGTTTTCGTCATTTATGGGTACTGAAGACAAAAGTCACGGAGTGGAAACACCGGAAGCTGTGTGTGACTTATCTGGCCAGTTTGAGTCATGCATGACAAAACAACAACAAGATGTTTTAAATTCAAAAGTTTTTTTAATCAGTTCACCCAAATCAAGGCAATAAAGCCATTAAGACGTAAGGTGATATGGAGTGTTAGAAAATATGAGAAGAAAAACTATAAAGGAGACAGAACAATAAAAAAAGGATTTAGATGACAGTAGATAACGATTGACATTGCATTTAAATTTTTGAAAAGTTGACTAAGAGTAAGAAGCCGGAAAATAGTTTCACAAGCCAGAAATACAATAGAAGAAACTGTTAGCATAGAACTTACGGTTACATCTAGCCATTTCAACTGTAAAATGATGAGATATTGCCGCCAATTAGGACTTCACCTAAATTCGTAACGTCTCGGAAGTATTTACTGAAAACGCAGAGGGGAGTTATGGCTGTGAGAGAGTGACCGGAGGAAAGATCCAAGGTCAGGACCAATAACACTGCAGATTTTTGGGGTTTTTTTTATCTAGAATCTCTAAATATATAGCAGGAGCAACAGGCCAGATGTGTCAGCAATATTCAATGCAAGAATGAATAATAGATTTATAAATAAAAAAAAGAAGTTATTTATAACAAGAAAGGAAGTTATGGTAAGCCATGATCGCGCACTTCCAGAAAGAGTATGTAAGAAAAAGTACACGTCTATCTGTACATGTGATCATTTACTCTAATCAATGACTATTACCTTCGCGATTAATTTTAAATAAATTGGAACGCAAACACACATTAATCATGAAAACTGTCTGTCGCCTCTGAGTATTGACTTCAATGTTCACTTTTTATATTTACACACGCTCTATCTTGGATATTGAGCACTTTATCCCATAAATATTGCATACCTTGAAACTATATTTTCACACACACACACACACACACACACACATATATATATATATATATATATATATATATATATATCCGCGGTACTTATTAGAAAGTGTTCGATATCAGTGATAGAACTGACATATTCAGTGGTATGGATAAGAAAGAAAGGAAAGGAAAGGAAAGGGAAGGCAGAAAAAATAAAAAAGAGAAATAGATAGGAGAATAGACGAGAACAAAGAAAAGAACGAAACAAACGAAGAAAGAAATTTAAAGGAACTGGAAAGAAAATAAGAAGATGGAGAAAGAAAGAAAGAAAGAAAGAAAGAAAAAAAAAAAAAACATGATATCCATTCTATAAGAAGTCGGATGAAATATTCAAATGTTAGAATCCGAGGTAAGGCCATATTTTTCTATCCTCTCAGGTTATTTTGCAAATGACGTCAAATAAAACGGACGATTGCATCGAAAATCATTATTCCCTAATTTCGCGTTTGTTTATTTCGTTACTTATTTTTCAGTTTTTGCTCCTTCTTCTTCTTTTTTAAAAAGACCGACCGATCAGTTTGCTATTTCCGATTCGATATTGGCTGCTCGTGACCGGCGTGCTTCAAGTAAAATTGAGGGGTTCAGAAAAACATCCGTTCGGAAATTTGGATCGTTTACTTGTCAGGAATGATCTTCATGAAATACATTCTGCTTCGCAGCATTGTGTCATGGATGCTTGTTAAATTAACCAAGTATGATACAAGGCCACAAGCTTATAGAACTTTATATACACTTGCCGCCAAGGACGCAGTTTTTTCCCCGAAATAAGCCACGAAATTTTGCTTTGCGTCCTTGGGGATGAAGATTAGGGTTTTCGTAGGCCTATGTTAACCCTAAAGGAAGTTTATCTATGCTAAACAGTAAACTTGTTGCGGGATGCTAGTATGCTTGGGTAAATATTAGTCATCATTCTATTGCGGTAATCAACACTTTGAGTAATAAATATTTACGGGCCCCTGGAACATTTATCCTGCAAACAGTATTGGCGGATCCAATATGAGTTCAGGTAAAAATGAGTCACATAAATCAATAAATATACAACAAATGACAATGCATGTATTAAAAAAATTGTTGGAGAAAATTCCATGGATCACCGTTTGTTGAATAAAAAAAAACTTGGGAGCAAAGATTGTCACGTGTTCAGATAAAATGATATTTATTTAAACGTAAGATACACAAATTTTAATTGTAATTACTTATGAAATGAAAGTTAGAAAGTTCTTCTCTTTGACTGTAAGGAAATGACCATGAAGAGTCTTTCAGTGAGAAAGAGAGAACGTGGAGTTCGGAGACAAGATCAAAAGGAAGCCAGCTTTGGCAAGAAAGACAGGACGGCAAGGTTGACTCGTGTCTACTTACTGCTATCAGTCCTTGAATGAATATTTGGTTTTTATGCGCCCGTATAGGCACCAGAAGCACGTGTTTATTTATTGACTGGAGCTCATTTTATTGGCTATTTATTTTTATTAAATTAAAAATTTGAAGTATGTTTGTAACTCGGAAGTCTGCGCGGTGCCCATGCACGGAGCCCATGAGCGGAGCCCATGCGCAGAGCCCATGCGCAGAGCCCATGCGCGGTCCGTTTACTTTTGTCATTTGCTCCTTTGATTTCACTTCCGCTTACTCTACAAATTACATATGTAGACAATTTTAACTAAAGGAAAAGAAACCGTAAACCAAATTATAAAAAGAATGTGCTTGTTTGTGTGTGTGCGCTTGTCAAACAAGCGTGTGTGATAGACACGTGTGTGTATATGCGTGTGTGAGAGAGTTCAAAAGTCACAGGAGAACCAAAGAAGCGAATGATAAATAACAGATAAGCAGACTATTATTTTTTTAGTGGAAGTGTATCTTGGCTCTGATTTCCGGAGGTTGAGATTCGAGGTCAGATGAAAGCCATAATAAAGTAGAGATTTTGATTAGCTGAGCTAGCGTGAGAATGATAGATAGAAAAATATTTTTCAGGGAGTTGGTTCTTACACGCCAGTTATTGTAGACGTTTTCTCTTATGTGTCTAAAACGGCTCCCCAGTGAGGAGGAACAACCCCCCGCTGGATAGTTAGTACATGTTGACTTTAATAAAATAGTTAAGTTAAAATTCGCCATGTTTGATGTCATTCGTTGCTGCCCCAAAACGTCTAGCAAACACCGGCCGAGAGACTATATGCACCATTATAATTAAATTGGCGCCTTTAACCTCCCAGCATGAGGGATCTATAAACAACACGAACACCACTTGTCAACAGCGTTTCTAACTACGTGGGACTACCTGTGAATGCCAGAGCTAAAAAATCTAAAAGAGCAAGAGGGAGAACATAAGTCCTTTTATATATATTAAAAAGCCCCCCCAACAGCATGCGTTTTGGCACAGTCAACTGGGGCAACCCACAAACTGAATTCCTGTATTATACACCGTTTAAGGTAGTAAATAAAAAATATCATTAAAAAAAGACGTATATGTCCGGAACATTCCCGTGACAGACTAGTAGGTGAGCAAACAGACATGTAGCAACACCCCGTAACGATGAATAACTGAGTTTGAAATATTTTTAAAGAATCTATATAAGTAAAGTATATTATTTATTGTTAGCTATGAGAAAAGAAAAAAAAATTTTCTTGGTTCCTTTTAGGGGACTCGTTTTTTTGGCTGCTTCATCTTTTGTTTTGTTGGTATTTTTAGAATTTTTAATTTAATTTTAATTTTCTTTATTGGTGGTATTTTTATTTTAATTTTTCTTGGAATCATTTTTAGGAGTTTTTAAACTATTTTTAAATTTATTTCTTAGAAGAATTTTTATGATTTTTAGTCACTTTTCCAATTTCTTTCTTAGTAGCAATTTTGGGAATTTTTAGTCTATATTTAATTTTCTTTCTTGGAAGTATTTTTAGGATTTTTAGTCGCTTTTTAAATTCCCTTCTTGGAGGTATTTTTAGGAATTTTTAGTCGCTTTTTAAATTCCCTTCTTGGAGGTATTTTTAGGATTTTTAGTCTATTTTTAAATTTCTTGGAAGCATTTTTAGGATTTTTAGTCGTTTCTTAAATTTCCTTTGTGGAAGAAATTTTCTGATTTTTAGTCTATTTTTAAATTTCTGTCTTGGAGATTTGTTTTTATCTCTTTTTCGATTTCCTTCTTGTAAACATTTTAAGGATTTTTAATCTCCTTTTGAATTTCCATCGTGGAGGTATTTTTAGGATTTTTAGTCTCCTTTTGAATTTCCTTCTTGGAGGTATTTTTAGGAGTTTTTAGTCTTCTTTTGAATTTATTTCTTGCAATCAGGAGTCGCCGATTTCACATCATGTTTTTTTTTTGTTGTATCAATTCCCTTCGCCTATTCCCGTCTCTTCAGGACTTACTTGATTATCAATAAATACCGCACATTTAAAAAGTCGTTTTTTCACTATCTTCGAAAAGGATGAGACTCTCCAAAAGCTCCAGCTGTTGAGTTCCAATGCAATTTAGATTACTGTTAGCAACATCAAGTACAGCACTAGTATCATTTGCAAAATAATCTGGGGTGCAACTTATTTTGGCCTTTCTGGTCGCTACAATGTCTTCATCAGAGATTTTCTGTACGCTCAAGTTTTCATTTTGGTTAACATGCTCGAAATGGGATTTTCAGTCATATGGGATCAAAGAAACAAAGTGTGAATCTGGATTTAAATCACGATCGGCATCTTTTTGATTTCCTCAGTGTCATCATACTGACCAGCAGATTGATGGTGGTCGCTTTCATTTAACTGTGGACTCAGTCTGTTGTCGTCGTCTTGATCAGTATCAATGATTGTTTAATTGTTACCAGAAGAGAGTGTTTGCTTTTGAACATCATGCTCAGCAGTTTGAAGATCCAGACACAACGGTAACTGCTGATTCTTTTACGTCCACCCATTTCCACAGATAAATTCTCAATTTCCACTTCACCTGATGCAACAGATCCCTCATCAGATACCTTTTCTGTGTAATCTTTCTTCTCAGCATGTGCAGTCAAACTTTCACCGACCATTCTAGAAGCAAATAGTTCAGATACAGCTGAACTATCGCAATGTGAAAACTGCTGAATCAAAACCCTATCTCGAGGCATTAGCGGTTCTTCTTCAGATTATTCTTCTCTTATGATTTCACTTTCTCTGGCTGATTCCTACCTTGGTCCTGATGAATGCAGCTTCCTCAACTTTTGCAGACACTTGTACGGTTGCATTGGAAATCGATTCAGTTACCGCAGCTACAGGTTCAAAGACGGTACGGCTTCAACAGATTCTGTAAGCGTTTCTTCTGAATTCCCAATCACTTCCTGGACTGTAGCAGACTCTGGGGGCGACAATAGAGTAGGAGAGGAAGATATTTCTCGTTTCAGGAACTGATCAGAGTCATTGGCTTTCGACTCAGTGCGTACAAGGTTAAGCATTTTGTTCTTCTTTGACACTTCTTCATACGCCTTTACTTTGGCTTGGATGATTTTTCCATCCCTTTGACTCACTTTAAATGCTGACGTGTGGCATCAATGGTGACTTGCAGCTCTACCCCTGCCATTTTGGCGGCTAATTCTGCAGCAATCTTCTGTTATCTTTGGCGTGATGCTTGTCACGTCTGAGAGACGACTGGAGTGGTGCTTATGTGAGGTGTCCCTGGAAGTAAGAGCTGGGTATATGGACTTTGCATATTCATTATCTTGTAGTATGCATAGCCTTATTTTTTCAAACTTTTCTCCATCTTCTGAGAGGTGTATTAAACTCAGTAGATCTGCCACCACAGCTATACCTGCGCCTGTTTTCTTTCGGGTTAGCTGACTTGGTGTTGCAAGGCTCCTTAAACCATCATAAAGTCTCCCGATTCGAGACTCAGGTTTCTTCGGAGTGTCCATCATTTAGCACGCCAATTCATGTGCATTCAATGCTTTAACTTTGTACAAACCTCTCTGCTGTAAATCTTTCACCTTTTATACTCAGCTATGCGTCTTTCCTCTATTTTCACTAACTCTTGTTGTCTCAACTCCACCATTTTTAATATGAATTGTACTTCAAAAGAGGAATTCATAGTTGCAGTTGCAACTTTCGTAACATTCTCCGTCTCTATCTATTTTGAAATTCTTGGCACGTTTGATGAGTCGCCGGCCTGGTTAACTGACTTTCAACATTGTGATAAAAATCCACTCCGTCCTTTTTTTCTTTTTTTTTTTTTTTTTTTTTTTGAAGTCGAGTTAGACAAATAATTCACTCACAGGGAGACGATAATAATGCACTATAGAACATCTTTTTTTTTATCTTTTTAATGGAGAAGTTTTTAATGGAGAAGTTTTTA